TAACGAGCGACGGCTAAAACCTTTTGATAGTCACTCAGGGTCATGACCTTGACAACATACATGAAGGTCAAGGTCATTGGGGCTGGGTCCGTTGTCATCAATATTTACCGAATTCTGATTCCAAAGACGATTCAGAATAATATATTTGATTTATTAATAATTAAAATTTGGAATTGTAAATGTAATGAATGAAAGATTGAATTTTTTCTTATTATCTTCTTTCCTTTTTTGTTATTTTTACTTTAAATTTTTATTTTATTGTAAATCGTACAACTTAAAATAATATAAAGTAATAATAATAACGTTTAAAGCATATTAAATAAATAAGTTACATAATTTTAAATATAATAAATTTCATAATAAACTATTAATTTTCAGGTTAAATATAAAAAAAATACACATATATAATAATACGATGCAATATAGATGAAAAAAATTAAGTAAAAATAAGATTCTAACCAGCAACATGCAACATTACAGTTAGGCGCCTTACTCGCCACTATTATTATGCCACGCTGCTCGTTGCGGACTCACTCTTATCGATGGGTACATTACCAACATAAAAATCTTTAAAAGCGTTTTTCTCACGAATACTGGAGAGGTACGTCGTATCCTTTTAGCACGAATTAGTGGGAGGGTTAAACTATTATATGTATAAAATTTAGCTAAATCGGAGGGGGCCATGTCTGCTGTTCCCCTTATTAGTCCTAAAACATTATATTATATCTCATTACATTGTAACAGAAGAGACATTACATGTCTCACACGATTTCTTCTCCGTAATTTACATCGTTCACACGAGTATATTCCTAAGATGCAGTGTATCGTCGTATTGTATCATCGCTATTTTGAAAATATAAGGCGAAAATTGATTTTATGTAAGCCAACAATAACGCGATATTTTCCTCTTCCTTGTTATCGTATGGCACAAAAAAATTGAACAGTTTTGTTACGAACGTTATACACGTTTCTCTTTCAGCTGTCACATATCAATCAGTCGCATTCGGATTTGTATAAGAAAATCCTCGGAAAACCCCTTGATCCATCGAAGTCAAGATCTGCTCAGGCACTGGCGTAAGCCTTGGACGCTCAGTCGTGAATGCTGTATCGAAGTATTTTGTATCCAAAGTGTGATCAAGCGCAGGTTTAAAAGGTGGTTCTAATTGTCTTCTCTCCAATCGATCCCAAGGCAAATGCTACGGAATCGGAATGGTATTTAACTGTTGAATTGTGCGTGATACATTTCTGCCATTTAAAAAGATACAGCCAATTATACCTGAAAGAAAGCATGCACAGCAATTTCGTGAGCAGGTAGCCTCTTGCCCGAATCTTTCTCCAACAAACAGGTAAGTATATCAGTAGCCTCTTGACTCAGATAACGAGGTATAAATGGCCGTTCGTTACAAATGCTCCAAAATAGCTCGTCCTCGTCGCATCCAGAAAATGGCGATTGACCTGTCAGCATTTCGTACAACAAAACACCATATGACCACCAATCCACAGCTTGATTATACTTAAGTCCTTTTATTATCTGCAAACATAAATTATTAAATAATTTTGATTCTATTGAATAATTAATAATAAGTGAAAACAGAGGACAAATAGAAATAAATTAGAAGAAAATGATGATATATACCTCAGGTGCCATGTAATCTGGCGTGCCACAGAACGTGTCGGCTGTTCTATCCAAGAAGATTTGAAGTTTACACATGCCGAAGTCCGCGATTCTAATGTGACCATCGAAGTCAAGTAGTACATTATCGAGTTTGAGGTCTCGATAAACGATACCCTTCTTGTGCAGGAAATTTAATCCGGACCAGATCTCGGCGGCATAAAAACGCGCGCGTATCTCCGGGAATCGGCCGGACTTTTGTATATGGAACATTAGATCACCCCCGTTGAGATATTCCATAACGAAAAAGAGATGCGAGTCGGTCTGGAAGGTGCAAAACAGATGGCAAAGATACGGATGCCTCGTTGCCAGCGTAAGAACTTTCCTCTCAATTAACGTACACTCGACATCGTCATCCTCAAGAACTACATCTTTTTTTAAACATTTCACTGCGTATACGCATTCCGTGCCGCGTAACTCCGCTAATAACACTTTACCGAAGCTGCCTTTGCCCAAGACCTGTGGAATAAAATTAGAATTTAATTTAAAGTACCATTCCAGTTTATTGCACAAATTTTTAACAGAGATGTAACTAATAAGATATCTTAATGCTTTATTAAGCGGGATGATGCAGTTGCGAAATTATTTATAAATTTCATACTCTTTTTTCCTATCATTGAGTCATATCATACCCAAACAATCTTTTATTATTTTTTTCTCATATAATTAACTATATTTTAATTAATACTTTTTTCCAAATAACTTTTTCCTTTTTTGATTTAATTATTTTATTTTAAAAAATCAATTTTTTGCAACTTTGATTTCTAATACGTTTAATAAAAATGATTTTTTAAACCAAAATAGATTAAATTAAATAGACTGAAATAGATAATTTATTTTTGATTATAAAAAATCAATTCAATATACTTCCAAAGCAAAAGATATATAAAATTCAAATAATATATAATTTTATAAAAAAATTTTGATGTTATTTGATGTCACAATTTCATATACACTGCCGTCGAAAAATTTCCGGACACTAGTAAAATTTTTATATTTAGAGTTTTAAGCCGTTGAACTTATTGTAAATTCAATAGCTTAAAATTCCAAAACATAAAAATTTTGCTACTGTCCGGAAACTTTTTGACGGCAGTGTATCTTGCAATGATTTATTCTGTTTTTCTTTATCTGTCTTAAATAATAAAAACCAAAAATAAAAGATTTTATTTCAATATATCAGGAGTTGTTAGGTTTTTATTATTTCAATATATCAGTATATATCGATATAAGAGATTAGAAGAGATTATTTCGAAAAATAAAACAAAATATATTTATAATATATTATTTTAAAACATTAACCATCAAGGGAAAATGAGCCAAAGGCAGGATATTATTAGCCAAAAAACAATTCTATTTCAAAACGGATCTAATATATTATTTTGTTCGTGTTTCATTATTTTTTTATTTCCAGTTAGATTTATTGACCTTTCATCATTAAGACTCCTGACTACTCAGCCAATTAAGAACTTCGCGTTGACGGTAACGATACCATATCATGGTAAGAATTAGTTGCATATCATAAAATACGTACGTCATATGTCACTGTAATGTCGTAAGCCATAAGAATTCTACATCATGCCGTATGCCGGTATCGTAAGCAATAAAAATTGATCAATCACAGTCGAATGTGAAAAGAATATTCGACTTGAAGAGAGTAATGGACTTTACTACGAAAAGTGTTGACGACGAATTTTGTATTGCGTGCGATTTCGTTATTATGTACAGTTGAACCTCGATAACTCGAATTTGAAGGGACCAGAAAAACTGTTCGAGTTGTAGAGTTATTGTATAGAGTAGAATATTTTCGACTTATCGAAATTCGAGTAAAAGAGGGTTAACATATAAAAATTCGATTTACGGAGGTTTTGTACGAGTTTATAATTTTCCGATTATAATGGCTTATTAGAGAAAAAAAATCAATATTTAACAATGAATTATTTATTGCATACATATGATAAAATGTAACCATAAAACAAAATACCAAGTTATTACTCACGGTTATACGTAGCTACAACTTCGAATTATAGAGATAGCGACAATGAAAGTTCGACGTATTGAGATAAACTTCGACTTGTAGAGGTCTGGATTCTTTAAATTCGAGTTACAGAGGTAAAATATATATCTAAATGCCTGACAAATAATTCGAGTTGAGATAGGTTTTATTTCGATTTATAGAGGTTTTCCGCAGCGGAGCGGAAGGGGATGAACAAATATTTCGTCTTATAGAGGTTTTCGAGTTAGAGGTTCGAGTTATCGAGGTTCCACTATACTTTAATTGTGAAAATGTATCTACTTTGTCTCATATTTATTAAACTCATAAAAATGGACAGACCCTAAAGCTATTTTTGAATTTTATACATAAAAGTATATTTTTCACTCCTTTCAATAACTAGCTGTCAAACCATGAGTTATTTCTTGTCTGCAGAATATAGGTTAATTTTACTTGATGTGCTTTTTACGATTATTTACTGACTGTCAGGGGGGGAAAAGGATAGTTTCCGTTAATTTTTACAAGTTCTTTAAAGTGATATCATTTTTTTTATTTCCAAATTCTCTTTATTTAAAAATGGCACGCAAACGAACTTTTATTTGTCATTTCTTGCTTATGACGTCGAGGTTCCAATATGGCCGCGGTGAATAATCAGAAACCTAGTATGAATATTTTATCATTTTTATTGACATTTCCTCATTTCTATTGTTCTGCAGTTTCTATCGACAGTAACTTATGAAGTATCCAATTTTAGTATGTTTTTCAATTCTCGCGCGTGAATTTCAGACAACTTTGGTCAACTTTTAAATTTCTAATTTTCTCAAAATCATTACCTCGAGATATTTTGATATAAATATAAAATTTGTATTTCAAAATGAAACTAAAAATCTTGTTGTCACAGGAGTTTTGGAATGTATCCAAACTTGTATGTTTAACTTCAACTTTCTTTTATATATAAGTATATTTGAAAATCATTTTATATAATAAAATATACAGAAAACAATCTACTTCTTTTAATAAAATTTAAAAATTGAAATTGTATTAAAATATAAAATGTAGAAAAAAACAAAAAAAACGTAAGAAACTTTTTTCTTGTAATATATGCCAAAATGAATTAATTCTTTTATATGTCACTATGAGTTTGATAGTATAAAACTAATAAATTTTTTTTATTATTATAATTAGATACATACAAAATGTCTGTATTGGGGTCAACTTATATGTGTTAATAAGGTTTGGTATTAGGTGAAAAAAGTTTTTAAACATATCCCCAAAATGCTTTATTAAAAAGTTGTAAACGTTAAAAAATTCATCATTTACATTTTGAATACAAAGCTGGTCTGCTGTCTTTACCAAATTCTCTAGCAAATAAACCAACTGTTTTGCGTGACCTCTGAGTCAGCGATTTTGTGTAAGTTATAAAGAACAATTTAATTTTGCTTGTAAATCTTTGAACGTTTATAACTTTTTAATAAAGTATTTTTGGACACCAGTTTATATGAAATGTTTTCACTAACTCAACCTCATTAATACATTGTATAAATTTGGTCCTTGAACCTTATGAACACCTTACATAATTCAAAAACCTTATATAATTCAATAAACGTATATCATACATTTTCAACAAAAATAAACTTTATAATTCATTAAAATTTAATTAACTTACTAATCCACACATTCCATGTAGAAGAATCTTTGATATATTTTATCGATTTATACATATTGTGAAATATGCATTACGTAGAATGAAAAAATTAATTTATTCTATAATATATACATATAATGCAAAACATTATTTTTATATTTTACTTTTGACATCATAATGCGACATATAATTGAAGTAAAATAGAAATCTTAAAGCTACATTGTTATTATTACATAGTCAATTATATTTAAAATTAATATACATATAATTGAATTTAGATAGATGCTCCAAGTTTAAACCAAGCGGTAAGTCTTGTCACGCGCATCTGGACGTTAAAAATAATGCGTTGCGCATGTGCTAATTCTGGTAATCTATATTTATATAGCTATTCCGTACAAATTCTGCTTCAAGTGTCCTCACACACAAATAAATCCTTGATAATGCACGGTTTCTCAGTAAAAGCAAGGCAAAATATGTACGCGACCATTCCGCTTGCTTGCCGCTAGTAAACTTGGAAATTGGACATTGGTATCTCATCCACTGGAAGATTTCCTCGTAGAAAACACCGCGTGAGTCAACCAGTTCACGTGATGTAAATACACGTGATTCAGATTAATTCTAGTCCAACTCTAAGCCAAGCTGCAGCAAAACGAACCGTAAATCTCCGGGATCTACATTCGCTAATAAGAATCAGGTGAATCTGCTGGAGTAATTGCTTCGATTGTTAATGAATATTCAATGAATTTTCAAAGATAATTATAAATATATTAACTAAAAAAGTTACGATATACAGACTCATTGTAAAACTAATTTTTCAAAAGTTATTAAAAACAAATGTTGCTTTGTCAACAGTTTTGCGTATGCATAATGTATAAAATTTTCACAAGAACATATTGTGGTAACATTTCTCTGGAAATATGCCAAAATTTAACACGTAGAAGCAGAAACAAACATATTTTTTTAGATTGATGTACCTATAGTACCACATGTAAAAAAATTGTATAAAGCTCCCCTCTCTCCTTCTCCCCATTTTCTCCCCTCTTTTTTTCTCTTCCTTTCTCTTCCTCTCTCTTCCTTCCTTTCTACTCCTACCCCTTCTTCCCTTTCTTCTTTCCCTCCTTCTTTTCCTCTTTTCCCTCTTTTTCTCCCTTTCTCCTTTCCTTTCTTTATTTCCCTCTCTTCCTTCTGCCCTTTCTCACCTATTTTTTCTTTTTTTCTTTCATCTTTCTCTTATTCTTTATCCTTCTCTTTCGCTCTTTTTCTCTGTTTCTTCTTTCTTTCTCTCTTTCCTTATTTTTTCCTCTATTCCTTCCTCCTTAGTCTTTCTCTTTCTTCCTTTTTCACATATTTACTAATTTTATAACAATTTAATCTGAATTAAATTTGAAGTATAACAGCAACTGTTACTAGATTGCGAAGTTACTTCAATCGCCTCCTTTGTGAGGTATACGCACGCACATATAGGCGTACACGATTATATGCACGAACTACGTAATGTAGTCTAGAAATAGTCGGTTGATTTTTGGAACTAGTCGAATAGATGTTCCTGACGCGTATAGCGGCAGACAAAAAGTTACACAAACACACAAAATATATATATATATATATATA